ATATATACATATATATGTATATGTATGTATATATATTTTTTTTATTTTATTTTATTTTAAGAAAAACTGTTATAGGAGAACTATGTAAACTGTTGTTGCTGACCTTCTTCTTAAGTGACAGTTTCCTGAATATCATGCTGATCTTCTTGCTTTATAAATATTGGACAAGTATGCAGATCCGGAGATTTGGTTTCTCTTGTCCTTACGTACCTTCCTAACTCTTTTCTGTCACCCTGAGTCTTTGCTGCAGTCCAATCAAAGATCCTTCGCAGATACCCCAGCGATAACCTATGATTGGTATTTGCACTCTGTTAGATTCTTCTAAAAACTGCCATTACAAGGCTTTATGTTAATATTAAAGAATGTTTTGCTTGTTTTATTTAACACAAGGATACCTGTTTTCTATTTTCTATTTTCTACATGTGTAGTTTAACATTATTGCAACAGTTTATTTATGACCATCTGTATTATACAAGAAACTTGCCTGTACTGAGTTACATTATTGCAGTACAGATCAGTAGTATACAATTAAGAGTTCTATCTGTGAAATTCTTGTTGTGTTTCTTCCCCTCCACTAATGATAATTACAACATATGCAGTTTGACTAAGCCACGTAATGAAACCACAAAAGCATTCAGTGGGAAAGGTGCTACATTATTTATACCACAGAGGAATTCGTAGTGCTTGGCTTGCAAAAAAATTAATTATTTAAGAATCAGGCTAAAGCAGGTTGCCACAGATGAAACTGGAAAACAAAAAACATACTAAGCAAACTGTACTGGTATGTAGAGTACTACATGAACATTATATGTGCTGTCGCTGCTGCTGTGCATCCTTGATCTCATTTTTTACCTAAATTCATAAAGATTTTTCCCATGCCTCCTTTGCATTATGACAGAAAATATTTGATAGCTTTATATATTTTATTCTAGCCTTACGGCGGCAGCATGTATAGTACATAACTATCTGTTCAAAGACATTTTAGTTTACTGGAAACGTTATTATTATTATTTCGATGATGATTATTGATAATAATAATAATGATGATGATGACGGTGTAATGTAATTTCTGACAAACAACATATATGACCTAGCAGTGTTTCTCAACCTTTTTTAAGTCACAGCACCCTTTAAAAGTATGCAAAATCTTGAGGCACCCCAGTCTAAAATGTCATAGATTTTAAGGGGGACCCCACTCAAAAACATCCAAAAAACGTGGGTATCCCCCCTTCACATCGAATTAAGATTTCACTCTTCACAGTTATCCTTTGCATCAGTAGCCACCCTTCACGCGAGTCTTCATTCCCCCTTCACATCACAGTGCCACTACTATAACATTTTGAGGCACCCCTGAGGAGGCCAGGAGGCACACCAGTGTGCCAAGGCACCCAGTTTGAGAAAGGCTGATCTAGCAATGCATTTGTTTTAAGTACTAAACAAATCATGAAAAATGACTAGATTGTCTATGATGCTGGAAAGTAATTGCAACTGAAAAGTTGTTTCCTTTTCTCCAAGACTGGACACTGATCAAATTGCCATAGTAGGAGATAAAAGCTGAACCAATTTTGGGCATATTTCTGTAAATATAAAAAACAACAGATAAGGTGGGTTTTATTTTAGCAGTTTTCATGTACTTAGTACTTTGCATGTGCATGTATGAAACATTGTGGCATCCCACAAGCAAACTTGCTCTGTCCATAGTGTTGATGATAATGGATATTTCCCATTATTCCATTCTTACATTAGTGGCTACATGACCCTATATATTGCTGATATCACATAATTATATTAAAGTGGAACTTTACCCATATCTTTAAAATAACAACAAACACACCTTTAGGGGGTTACTCTCTAAAGAGCCGAAGGATCCAGCCGTAGCCTGTAGGGGCTATTCACCATAGCCCCTACAGCAGCCGAAGGCAGCCGAGGGGCTCAGGTGAGCCGAAGGCATATGCTTCTGCTCGGCTGAGCCGAAGTGACAGTCGAAGCGTGGAGAAAGGTCGGCCGACATCATGGCCGGCTCCGCCCAGCTGTTATTCATTGGCCGGGACCTGCTAGAAGACTCTGGCAGGTGCTGGCCAGTAGGAAACAGTTGGGCAGCCTAATTGTTTTTCTTTTGCCGGCATCTGTCAGATGCTTTTTTATGCGGCAGGAGTCCGTCGCGTACGGACGGGACGATGTGTCGCTTTTTAAAATTTTCTTTAAAATATATATTTTTTTAAATTTCCCTATTTTTTTCACATTTTTAAAATATTTTCCAACTTTTTTTTCATTCTTTTCACATGTTTTCTATTCTGCTTGGTACCTCAGAGGATCGGCTGAGTCCAACTCCTGCTGCACTTCGGCTGACAAAAGGCAGCCGATGTACGGCTGAAATCAGCCGTACAAGACTGAAGTGAATAGCCGAACAGCGTTCAGCTCACTTCACTTCAGCTGGGTTATTCACTCAGCTGCCTTTGGCAGCTTTGTGAATAACCCCCCTAGAAATGTTTAGTAATGGCAATCTACAAACAGATACTTCTAAATAATTGCCGGCTTTGTATTCTTTGCATATCTTATTTCTCTTTTCTTTCCCAGTCTTCTTACAGCGGATATGTTAACTATTGAACTCTGGCGCATGTGACTAGACATGTGGCTAGGACATGTGACCATGCACATCATCTCAGGGGAGGAAGATGCCTTTCCTGAGATCTCATAAGATTACAGATGAGATTTCCCAGCAATGGTTTGCTGATGTAACCTTCCCCAGATGCCACGCTTCAGCAGTTCATTTCTGCTTGTTATCTCAATGCACATGTGTTAACTGACTCTCAATCATAGGGCTATTCACAACAGGGAGAAGAGTTTAGAGAAGGCAGGAGAAGAGAACAATCTTGGACAACATAGTTGAAATGCCTCACCGAGAACGGGCTCCACTATTTGTCACTGCTGGAAAGTGAGCTAAATTAGAGACTTTTTCCAAATCAGCTATGTTGGCCTAGTTTGTTCACTTCTCCTGCCTTCCCCAAACTCTTCACCCTTCTGTGATTTAACCCTGTTAAATTCTAGTTACGGCACTGCCTTTAACAGTTTAACAATTTTACTACTAAATTGCAGTACTGTGAGTTTGAATTGTCCCTGATAAGTTGGAGGTGTCTACATATGAAATATATTCTTATATTGGGGAGATTGTTGGATGTAAAGTAATAACAATAAATAAAAAAGCAGTTTCGATAAGGCAGTGAAACATTACACTTGGAAACTAAATCAGATTTGTATTTGACCAAAGTCAGTTTACTAAATAATCCTGAAGAAGGTTTCATGGATGAAAGTGCAAGAAAGAGAAAGGAAGAATATGGCTGGCTGCTGTTCTCATATTTCTTCTTCCAGAGTTCAAACTTCTATTGTTTATTCCAGTTCTTGAAACAGTATATGGTACCTCATATTATGGTCAAATAAGTTGTAGTGGGACTGTACATATTATATAAAGTATGAACATCAGTCCATAAGAAGCATCAAAGTCTGAAGGTGAGAAAATATTCAAGAATTCTGCATTATAAGGAAATGTCATAAATACCATGCTTGCCTACAAAAAGCAGGAATGAAAATGTAAATGTGTATTATGTACTGTATATCCACATTTGTCCTGAGTTGTATTAATGTTTATTATGGAAATACCCAGTACATTATTAACATTGAATTGGAAAGAGCAGTCACAATATTTACAGTTTGATTTTATTTTTTAAATTACTTCTGCCTTGCCAAGACACCTCTGTACACTATTGTACAAACCAATGGAGCTAAAGGGATTGCCAAGAGGAGACACAAGACTATCTGAAGCTCCAGTAAAATTCTTCCATTTTCTCCTTCCCTGCTTGTCTTTTCCTGGTGGACTTTACAGTGCAGTGGTATTTTTGCAAATACTGTAACATACCATTATTAATAATGCATTGAGTTTTTTGGGTGTTTTTTGTACCTTCTCTGTAATAATCATGGTTTAGTTGGCAAAAAAGGGGGAAACCTGTAGGAAAGGTCTTTCATGTATGCCTAGGAAAGCTGTTTCTAACAATATAAACTTTTTTAGTCTAACATTTTCTTTTCTTTTATTCAATATGAACACTTTTTTACCGCCCTTAAATAGAACAAGCAATCGAGGATGAATGCTGTCATATATCATATATGTTGTTTTTTTTTAACCTTTCTATATATTAGAACTGCATCTTACTATAAAATAAAATTAAAAAGAGTATGTAGAAATTCATTTTTATTGATGCAAATGTCACCTTATAAAATGTGCAAGAAATGATCAATTGCAAAATGAGGCTTTACAAAGAAGCTTTGCTTATCTTATACGGCACAGCTTTTACAGCGCTGTAGGCCATTCTCATTGCAGGCCGTGCACTTTAAAGCTTTAAAAGAGTCCGTGAAGCAGTTTCGAAACACTGACATCTTGCTTCCATGGCACACTAGACAAGGAACAAAGCCAAAACCCCCACAGGAGGCACATGCATGGGGGTGCTGAACTCGCTGCAGAAAAAACAAAAAAATACACATTATTAAATTATGGTTCAAGCTGTCAGGCTGGTTGTAGAAACATTTTGAACTGGACAACCCCCCCTTTTTTTAAGGAAGATAGAGATATTAAATGGAAGATGTGGCCTTATGAATGCTACAGCAGCACTTATGATCCTCATATGGCTGCTTCCATATTCCCCACACACACTCACACACACAATATGGATGTCCATATCTGCCTTATTGGCCATCAATAATGACCATATCTGCTACAGACTGACCACATTTCATGTTTTTGGTCAGCTGTCTTTAGTGGATCACTTGTGTATACAGTACACAGTCTTCAACTTACAAGAGCTCTAATACACTAGAGACTCCAGAATTTGCTATAAGAGCAACCAAAAATTGTAGCTGTTTTCCTGAGTCTTACTCTAGGCTTTTTAATAAAGGAAAATGATCTACAACAGAGGTCACATACAGCCACAGTACATCCAATAATACCACAATATATCACAATTATGATTAGGTACAGGAGCCTGTATTGCCATTCACATTCATTTCTATCTGCCATTGATAGACAACCAAAAGTAGAAGAGTCCCAGCAATTTACATCAGCACAGTAGCCACATATCTATAAAAAATAAATCAAGGCAACTGGACTTGCTGTATTTTTTTTCTTGGAGATTTTTCACTGGTCATCCGACTAGCTTTCTCAATTCAGAATGACTTATAAAAAAACTTTCTGGGTGTAAATATGGTGAATGTTGCTCCAATCAACATAATCTTCCTATCATAACCAGCATAGGGCCAGAGACCTAATGGAGGTAAGGTGTTGATTGCATTTGCATGATTGGAGCTAGCAGGTACTATTAAGCGACCCAGAGAGATGTTAAAACAGGATTGTATGTGGCAGACAAAAGATTTCTCCCCCCCCCCCCCCATCCCCACCTCTATTCAAGCTTGGCTTCTCCATTTTGAACATAAATGGAGGAGTCATTTTGAATTGAGAAAGCTAGTCGGACGACAAGTGAAACATCTTCAAGAAAAAAAAAATACAGAGATTCCAGTTACCTTGTTTTTTTTTTTTAGAGCTATACCATGACCTGGATGAATGGATGAATGACAACCTTCATAGATAGACAGTGGCCAAAGGTGGAGCCCCCAGTATAGTCCAATCTTTTAGCTTGTTTCAGAAACCTATTTTGTGAATCAGACTTTACAATGTACTCTGCAGTTGTTTAGTGGATTTTTCTGCTAAACAGCTGCATATTTCCCTTCTGAAAACACCACTTGCTCTTGAAGGCAATCTGTGAACCAGCAGAATTGCTCACATGGCATCTATCCAGTTGTTTAGAGTTAACATCTTAACAATTGTGGATGTGCCTCCATCAGTGTTAACGATTCTCTGAAGAGCAACTAGAATAAACAGTACTGCAGGACAGCAAGCCATTATGTAAACTTGTTGCACCTTTAGTGTTACGTAACCTGAAGTCAACATGCCATGAAAAACAAGTCATCAGATGACATGGATAATTCATAACCATGAATAACATAAGTTGTTAATGTTTATTTGAACTGAACACTACAAATGCTTTATGAGTGACTATTAAGTTGTAACCAGCTGAGTAATAAACGTTGATTGCTGCTTTTCAGAATGATCAATAAACAAAACTAGCAAGGGAAAAGCTATGAACATCTCAAAGCCATTTTTTTATTTGTATGGTGGTATCAAAAGATTCATACTCTTTTCTACAAAATGGAACCTGCAAATTAGTTAAATGGTTTATTTTCCTTCCACACCCCCTTCACTTAACATTGTACTATACTCTGGATTATTAAAATGACTTCCAAAATTATATCTACCACAGTACCACTAAGTCATTCTATCCAATTTAAATTTATGTACTGTGTGAACACTATAGATTATGTATGCCAAACATATTTTAAACATTCTTAAACATACCAGCCACTGTGCTCACACTTTATTACATGTACCATGTTTTTAACCTCTTCCAAAAAGTCTGTCCCCATATGTATAGGCCAGCAAATACAATGCCCGATCATTAGACAAATACAATACCTCTAATGTTTACTGATAATCACCAGTGCTATCTGCCGTGATGATATCACTGTTCCTGGATCTTTGTAGTTAAAGTCAGTAACAGTTTAATGTTTTGTTTTTTTATTATTATCAACATTGAAGTAGGGGGGACCTTTGACTAGATATAATAGAGAAAATATGGGAAATAAAGATACAAGCTTAAAGGGTCATTCTTCCCAAAGCATGCTATTCAGTTTTTGCTTGTACCTTCCTGTGAATTAAACTTAAAAATACATCTTTCTTCCAAGCTATTTTCTGTAAAGTACCAAGTCTCCTGCACCTCATGCAATGGAGATAAAGGAGATGAGAGAGGAAGACATGTTTTCAGTCCAAATCAGAAGAGCAGCCTATGGTAGCAACACTGTTACTGTAAATGAGATACAGTACATGTATTGGATGTTGTCTCAATAGGACAAAAAGTGTGTTTCTGGCAGGATCCCAAGGTGAAATAAAGGAAAATAAACCTTCAAATAAAAATCAACTGCAGTCACCATATCTGATAAGATAAGGCGCAATGTATAACATTTAACATTTAGTTTTTGGGTTTAGCTACATTCTACCCAGCTGTATATGGTAACCCCATGGTTATATGACACAGATACTCTACAGAGGCCTGTATGCATGTTTTGGAGAGGATGAACTGTCTTAGTCTTTACTGTAGGACAAAACCAGTCAGGTGTAAAACTTACAAATGGTATTGTCTTTTTGGCTGTGACCTTTACATACAGTATATTGTGGAATACTCCTTATTGTTATGCGGTATGGCCCCAATATTATTTTATAGGCATCTGGTCTTATATTGTGACTGTCTGATTACTAAAAGGAACAGGAATGCATCTCTGCCACCTCGATTTATTTTTTTACAATTGAAAAATTGAATAAAATGCCCCCACGCCCAAATATGTGAATTGATTAAAAAAAAAAACCTTGATCAATTCACATTTTGGGGATGGGGCATTTTTAGGATAAAATCTTACAATATATACTAGTACAAATTTTTGGCAGGCAAAGGAACAGAGGAGCATCATAATCCTTATCACATCTCCTGTGATCTGCTACTGACCACCCCATCCAGTCCTGACACCTGTCTATACAACTGGTAATTATTTTGGGGGGGCACTGTGGTGATCCTGGGCTACTTCTGGCAGGCAGTCAAAAACTGACAACCGCTTACCTTCCCACCTAACTTGCTGGATACCACCAGCACACTGTTTCTTTGGCCCCTTACTCCTGCTCCCTCTCTTTTACTTTCTATATTTCTGTCTATATTTATGCCAAATCAGTAAATGTGTATCTCCTTCACATACAGGTGAAACTCGAATAATTAGAATATCGTGCAAAGTTCATTTATTTCACTAATGCAACTTAAAAGGTGAAACTAATATATGAGATAGACTCATTACATGCAAAGCAAGATAATTCAAGCCGTGATTTGTCATAATTGTGATGATTATGGCTTACAGCTCATGAAAACCCCAAGAACCCCAAATCCACAACCTCAAAAAAGTAGATTATTATATGCAATCAATAAAACAAGGATTGTACATAGAACAATATCGGACCTCTGAAAAGTACAAGCATGCATATGTACTCAGTACTTGGTTTGGGCCCCTTTTGCAGCACTTACTGCAATTACTTTTGCACGATATTCTAATTATTCGAGTTTCACCTGTATATCAGTTTTCATGCAACGATCACTACAAAGAAGACTTTTGGAAGGATCATTCACCTCAATCTTCATTAAGAGATCTTGGAGTTCTCCCGATTCATTCATTGACAATATTTTTTCGGCACCCTGTAATGGAACAAAAAAACAATCAAACAATTTCTGTATTCTTACCAAAGTATGCTTTGCATGTAAGTGTGTGCAAAAAGCAATCTGGTCATCACAATATGTTTAGTCAAATATTGTTAATAATTGAAGCCCCCATACAAGAATTTCACTTACTACTAGTTATGCAGGTTGTAGGAATATAACTAAGCCAAGTATGGCCTTTGCTGATCATGTAAAATTAATGCTCAAAGGGAAATCTTAGCTTACACATGTTTGCAGAACCACTACACTGTAGTATACAGTATACTCAGGGCCATCTTTAATATTGATTGGACCCCGGGCAAACATTTTCTTGGGCCCCCCACCACGCCCCCCATGCAATATTGCCCGCTATATGCTGACAGAGCAGAGCAACGCTGCAGGTGGGATGGATCGAAAAAATATTGTCCAGATCCACCCCACCACCTGATTGACAGCTGACTCTACCTCTCTAGAGGTTGTGTCCGCCCCATCCATCCCTCCAGTCAGCGTTGGAGGATCAGAGAGGGGAGGGGGGGGGCATTCCTGCAGGGAGCCGTGACTGACAGTCACCGCTCTCTGCAGAGAGAGTGAGTGCAGGAACTGAGTGATCAGCGGAATGTGATCTCTCAGTTCTCGATGAAGAGAGCCAACCTGTGGCAGCTTCAGTAACTAGGGGGAAGAGCGCATTTCACTCTCCCCATAATTCTACAGGTGAAACTCGAATAATTATGGGGGACATAATAATAATGACAATGGGGGGACATAATAATAATGACACTTGGGGGGACATAATAATAATGACACTGGGGGGACATAATAATAATAATGACACTTGGGGGGACATAATAATAATAATGACACTTGGGTGGACATAATAATAATAATGACATTGGAGGGACATGCTCAGGTATCATTATTATTTTTATACAGCATTACATCATAGCCCAACAGTGCCACACCTAACCCGACCACCCCCCATCGCTCCCCCCCCAGATAGAAGCCCAACCCAACAGCCATGTGGACTCGCCGTGGACAGGGGAAGGATGAGACTGCAGCCATGTGCAATTAAACAAATGGGTGCAAGAGTTTACCATTGTACATTTTTCACCTGTATTCTAAACGCTCCCTGTTAGCACTCGAGGGCAGCCCCAGATGTGTACCAAATATTCCAGGGCCACTCTGCCCAGAATGCTTTCTCTGTCAATTGACAGGACTTTACTATGGTACAGGCTTTTTACTGCTCCACAAGTACCTTTCCAGGTTGGATAGCAAACAACCACCCTCTCTCCAGGCCTCATGGGTGGTATACTAACAAATCCCACCCCCTCTTAGAAGCCTTTGCATTGTCATTTGCAATTACCTTAAAGTAAACAACATTGCACTATATGCAAGATCATCATATCCCACCCACACACGCCTTGGATCGTGGGAGAATAAATTCAGTTCAGCAAATCATTCCTCATAGATGAGGTCCTCCACACCCCTATTAATTTAGCTGCCCTGATTTGAACTTTCTCCAGTTCTTATACAACCTTTCTGTGTACTGGTGCCCAAAACTGAACTGCAGTTTCAAGATGAGGTCTTACTAATTCTATATATCTTTTAATGCAAGAAAGTATCTTACACAATCTAGAAGCTGAAGATTGGCAATCTGTGATGTTATTAAGTCTATGATTTAAGAGAACACCCAGATAATTTTCCATCATTGACTTGCCCAGTTGAACTCTGCCTAGATTAAATGATGTATAAATGATTTTGTAG